AGCAATAAAAACATCTAGATTATTAATTGCATTCATTTTTCGAAAACTTTTATTAAAATTTGGTTTTTTTTTTTTATTTTCCATATAAATCGGGTAACATTAAATGTTGCCTGATTTCGTGGGTTTTTTTAATAAAATTTCAAAATCAACCACTCAAATTTCTAAGTCCTAATTAAAAAAAATTAATGTTAACTTAATTTAGTTAATATCGATTTCCATATCATACAATGCTATTTTTTTATCTTATAAAAATGTCAGCTTTTGTATCATATAATCCAAATTTTTTTTATCTTTCACGATAGTGGCTTGCATTTGGTAATTCTCGCGGTGCATTTGGTAACATAATTCGGTAAATCTAATCATGTATATGTCAAAATGTCATTTTAAATTGCAAAATACAATCGAAATAAAAAAAAAAAATTATTTACAATAAACTATTATTAATATTTATTTAAGATAAATATCAAATTTTGTTGAATAGGAAGCATGCAATTGTGAATCTACTTTTTAACATAATGATAATATAAACATTGTATGAAATTTAAATAAAATGATCATAAAAACATGATTAATCTTTAAAACCAGTATCCCAATTGTACACGGATTCGAGTAAATAAAAATTCGCAATCAAAATCGGAACAAATCTTAATTGTGCCCTGTATTTCAAAATTATGAGATAAACTTCCATTAGATCCATGATCAGCATCTTTTTTTTTACGAAACAATAGAGAATATTATAAATAAAAAATGCACAAATGTGCAAAGTACACAGCCCTCAGCTGAATAGAATAACCAACAGCTGAAACTGGGAGGACATGTCATAAGACCGCCTAGAGCCAGACTAGCAACGCTAAAAAACAAACTCTAAACAACACAACAAAAAGACCCAATGAAGATGACACTCAACGGGGTAAGGTGGAACGACCCCCTACGGAGTAATGTGGAACAACCCCAAAGGAGTAATGCCCGCTCGCACTCTTGCCCACAGGGGCCAACAGCCCAAACCAAACACACAGACCCAAACAACACAAAACAACCAACACAGAAACAAACTATGCAAAACTACGAAAATGAAGATAACTATAATTAGAAAAGAGCCCTTCCGCAGCAAATCTACCGAACGAACAGTCGACTCTTAGGAAACATCCGCAGCTCGAAAAAATGCCGAAACTGTCGAAAGGCCTATCTGAAGCAGAAACCCACGCCCCGGACCAACCTGTCAGCAGACCTTCCCTTCGCAGGAAGCCAAAGAAACCAACAACCCACAACACCGCTGCCCCCATCTGGCTAACACCACTAGCCAAAAACGGTAGCACTAGTTTCTCCCGGACCCAACACCATAGACACAGAGGAAATGGGATTTGAAGGTTACCTCAGCCTGCACGAAGCACCAGCGGCCACCCGGCCATCCACATTAGAGAAGAACTCAGTCCCAGAAAACAGCTCCCAAAACTGCCGGCGAAAGCCTAGCGGAAACCGCGTCCAAGTACTTCAACCCACTCCAACAGGACGGCCCTCCTCGCGACTGGAGGAGCAGCAGACTTCCCCACCCTACCACCTCCACCGGCTCGAACGCGACCAACACCACTAGCCGAATCTGACCACGCCGGTGACCCTCTGAAACCCCAGGAGGAGAAACAGAGGGAAGAGGGCGAGGAAGACGCCACTCCTCAACCTCGACTGCCCCATCGCAGCAGTCCGAGCCAGACCCAGCCCCAACGATACACCCCACCCAGCGTTCCCACAACACCAAGGAATCTGACGGGCATTAACCGGAAAGGTTACATGAAAACGACAGAGCCATCGTGATGTAGGGAGCGTACGAATGAGACGATATTAATGAGATTACAATCTCAAGAACACCAAAACAATATATCAATTCATATTTTTATTAAAAATCAACCACTGAATAACAAAGAAGAGAAGTCTTTAATAAGACACCCAAAACCCTAAACTAACTTGTCCAACAAGCAGGGGCGAAACCAGAAAATTAGTTCAGAACCGATAGCGAACCGATTACCGTTATACATAAGTCGGTTTGGTTCGGTTCGATTTATTTTCTCATCTGTTCGGTTAGGTTCGATTTTCGATTTTCGGTCAAAAAATACCAGCCCTAACTTGGGTAATAAAAGAGAGTTGAAGTCTTTTATATGAGAGAATTAAAATTCTAGAATGACAATAATTAATATACAAAATTAATAATATTTAATTCCTAACTTATTCTTCAAGATATCTAATAATAATAATAATAATAATAATAATAATAATAATAATAGTTATTATTATTCTACACCATTCTCCCCCGGTTGAGCAGGAATCGCCCTCGAATCCGACATGTTTCCATTGGAAACCTTATGATCGGAATAGCCCGAGTTTCCCTCGATCGAACACGAAGGTTGAAGGTCGCCCAATAACCTCGATGGTAAACATAATCTTGGGCAAGTACTGAACTGGTGCAAAGGCACAAGCAAACACCTTCATACGCATAACCCACATAGCGGAAGTAACACCAAACATATCACATCGTTTGATGCGCTCAAATCCATAACTGCGGCCAAACATCCCGTTGTTGGGAGACTTCACGATAGACAATCGAAAAATGACCAACCCATTATCGAGTCTCAGCTTCAGCTCTGAAAAACCATCTTTGGCCAAGATACTCCGAAAATTGGGTCTAAACGACGGCTTCCCATTCGAAGGCTTAACTTCTGCAACATTCCAAGCGGGACCTATATTGTGGCCAAAATATGTCTTCGTCATCGAAGGCTCCTCATCAAAAATCGGCAAACCGTCGTAGAGACCGTCCACTTCGTCGGTAAGACGCTTCTCCACCTCCTTAGGACCTTCATTAAACACCGGTGGACCGCCATACAATGGCCCGTCAACTTGCTTTCCGTCGAATTCGTGGATATCAACACAAAACGGGCCCTCCCATTGACCATATTCGACATTAAAATCCGAATTGCGTCGGGCACGATATCCGCCTACGAAGGCAGCCTCCTCGTGCCTGCCTTTGTCGTCGCGTGGATCATCGCCGTCCACGAAGACCGGGCCCCGTCGCCGCATGTCACGGACGCCGTATGCAGCAAAGGGGTTAGCCTCGAGGTGCGGGAGTGGATAATCATCGATGGGATTCACCTCCGTGATTATCTTCTCACCGTCTTCGTCACCAGACGGTGGTTGTGGAGATCTCTAGCGGGGCGCCCCGCCTGGACCACGGCCTCCACGTTATCAAGCGTCAAATGCAAATCCTCGATCCCCGTCGAAGGATTGGCAAACCAATCCATGAAACATACGTCCAACTGTTGAAATCGGTAGTCGATCTGTTGAAACCGATCGTTGAAGGTTGCGTCACGTCGTTCGTTTGCGGCATCTCTAATCGTACTGACTGCTGATACCAACTGATGTAGAGAAGCGTACGGATGGGAAGGATAAACGAGATACTCTCTCGTAAAACACAGAAAACTCACAATATCTGATTTAATCTCAAAATTCACCAAGTAACAATAAAGCAGGAGAGTCCTTTATATAAGACTCTCAAAACTAATAACCCTAACTTGTTCAACAAGACAAGATCTCTTATAATAATGTTTAATTCCTAACTTATTCTTCAAGATACCTAATAATAATAATAATAGTTATTATTATTATTCTAGACCACATAGCCAAGTCCATCTTCATCCCCCAAAGCATCGCAAGCTAGGAGAGGCACAAAATTGGGACCAGGCCGTCAACCGAGGGTCGAACCACCGGTGAGGGGTCCGACAACCCGCTGAGGAAGACAGCTAGTATGGTTGAAGAAGAAGGATTCGAATGGCGAAGTTAGGGTTTACGAGCGGCAAAATTGGGAACGGCTTTTTGCAGTATATTATCAACATCTAAAAAATTCGATTTTGTGAACATACCTAACCAACGGATAAGGACCACAGAAGCTAACTTAAAAATACTTTATTCGTGAATGCGATGTAGTCCAAACTCCAAATAATCCGATTAATAATACTTTTATGACAACATGTTTAATGATTTATGAATATTTATATATCATTTTATTAATATTTATGTGAAAAAAAAATATTTTCTTATAATCTTTATTAATGTACGGTAAATATAAGGTTCTCAGAACCAGATCCTCGTCAAAACGATCAAGTTATTTTATTTAGTGATTTGTGGTTAGTTCAGATTTTAATTTATAAATATTTTCATACATATATATATAGTACTTTTTCTAATAAATTTAAATAAAAGGTGTTACTTAAATTTCTAAACAATTTAAAATTCAAATGTTGAAACTAATTGATAAACAATTTATAAATCTCAGTTTTATTTAAATATGTATTTTTTTTTTAAAATAATTTTAAATATAACAAATTTATTTAGAAAATCCTACCGATCTTGCAAGTACGACAGGCTGGTGTTGACATGTTCAATAGAAAATATTTTATTCAAGCTAATTAGACTGATTAGAAATCGGTTCTGGGTCCATCTGGTCAGACTATCCAACCCGGTTTAATTTAAAAAAAACGTGTAAATAATGATTAATGTTATTCATTCATTTAATTTATAGTTTAATTGTAATATTGTTTTCCAAAAACGAGAAAAGAAAAATGATAATTGTAGCCTTATCATCTTCCATTTGATTTGGATAGCCAATATATGTAAATCCCACCCGTTCCATCACAAAAATACCTCACAAGCGCAAAACAATGGCGTCTGCTGCTGCACCCTCCACGCTCAGCCTTCCGCCACCGCACCACCAAGATCTCCATCGCCCCTCCGCCGCCACCTTCTCCCTATGCTTCAGGAAGCCCTCGAAAGAGAACCCTTTCTGCTTCTCCTCGCCCAAACCCTTCTTCTATCCCTTGGTTCTGCAGTCTGACAATAGCCGCTCGTCAAAATCACTCATCGCCGCCGCGTTGGCTACCGAGACGGAGTTGGATGAGGAGGCCGCTGAGCAGCACCTAGATGATAGCGGAGTTGTTGCTGTCGTTACGAAGCCTAAAAAAGGCAAAGCTGCTTTGCCTTTGAAGAGGGATAGGGTATGTGTATCGAGAACAATTTTGCAGTTTCTGTAAAAATTTACTTTGTGTTCATGATTATGTTTCTTCAGTAATATGATGATGGGGTTTTGTTTGATTTATAACACCTAACTTGTAAATTCGTAATTTGGATGTTTAAAGTGATGCACGTATTGTAATCTCAAACTTCAATATCATTGGCTGGATCATTCTGTCAGTTGTTTGGGAGATATCCTTTTTATTGTTATTTTTTTTTATGGTTTTAGTTTTGTGATTGGAGGAATGCAAACTCTTGCTTCACAGGTTTGGGCTTCCTAGATGAAATAAAGATGAAATAATACAACGATTGTAAGCATGACCATGATTTTCTTTCGTTCTTTCTTGGTTGGGACAAACAATTTTTTGTGGTAAAGATTATTTCTTGGAACGCATTCCTGTGTTATCTCGGATATTGAATGCAAAGTTTTCTGTAGAATTATGTTGGGATGGTTTATTTACAATTGATTGCAATACTCCCACAAGTTAATATAATCAGTACTTCAGCCTGCCCAAATTGGGACTGCATGACTCCCCTTATTTCAGCTTGTCTCTGGTAAAAAAAATTGATGTTCCTTTATGTTGCAACTGACAGACAAGGTCCAAGAGATTTTTGGAAATTCAGAAGTTGAGAGAAAACAACCAGGAATATGACCTGAATACAGCAATATCATTGCTCAAGCAAATGGCAAGCACAAAATTTGTTGAAACGGCTGAGGCCCATTTCCGCCTCAATATTGACCCCAAGTATAATGACCAACAACTAAGGGCAACTGTAAGCTTTTTCAATATCACTTGATTTACTGGGAATTTCCATCTATTGTCTCTTGATATAGGTTGATGCCATATCATATCCATAGGTAAATCTGCCCAAAGGAACTGGTCAGAGTATTAAAGTTGCTGTTCTGACACAAGGTAAACTGAACATTTGTCCTGTTGAGTGGATTGCAGTACATTTAAATGTGAGTTTATTTGATCCAGAATCCATTTCTGCTGCAGTCAAAAATTTCTTTTCCTTGAAAGTTTGCCAACAATGGGTTGTGAAACATTTATTTGCATTTATTGCTATTGTGCCTCATCTTTCTTTGCTGAGCCCAGTGTCTAAATTTGATCTGAATCTATTGCTATTGTGCCTCTCTTTTCAATATGCATGCACTAGGATTTTACCGCATAGAATAGAGACAGAACTCTTTTGATGAATTAAATTCGTCATTGGTGAATTGGGTATATTTTCCATCATATTATTTATAGAACTTAATACACTTCAAGCATTCCTGCATTTTAAGTCAGCTCAATATCTTTTTGTCAATTATCTATACATATATATTTGAAGGTCTATAGTATGGATGTTCCCTTTTTATTTCTTCTGATGTGTTTTGTTGTATGTGAGATATATACGGATCTGTCAAAGTTTTGAAGTGTGGAACAGGGTTATCATCCACTTTTCTGTTTATTAATGTGTAAATATTGTACCTTCCCCTCAACCAAATTGCTGTTAAGGGATTATAATCTTCTTATCTGCTGTTTATTGTTGTGGTTATCTTAATTTCTGGATTTACCTTTTCTGGTGGCCTTTTTTTCCTGCATTTGTTTTCTTCTGCAGGTGAAAAATTCGATGAGGCAAAAAATGCAGGAGCTGATATAGTTGGTGGAGAAGACTTGATTGAACAGATCAAAGAAGGATTCATGGATTTTGATAAATTGATTGCAACCTCCGATATGATGCCTAAGGTATTTACCTTGCTTAAAACTCTGGTATTACATAGCTCGACTGTATTTGTAACTTTGTTCGTCTAGGTTGCACCAAACAATATGCTAAGCATTTTTTCTGCTGCCTAGTAGATAAAACCCCTGTTATTACTGCTAGTAGTTACTGTTGCTTTCTAAGTAGGAAAGACAATATGCTGATAGCTAATTGACTATGGTAATTTTTGCATCCTTGTTGATTTTCAGTTTTTTGGT